CGTGTCACGCACGATGCGACTATGCACTGCATGGAAGTCTTGCACGATTGCGATGACTATTACGCACAGACATTATTCCACTGACTATCGACTAAACACAATTCGAGAGTCGGCTTCGCGCCCTCGCTGTGAAACTACATGCCTGCGGGCTTGCTACGTGTTGGCCTTCAGCGGACACTCACTCGCCCAGTGTACCCCGCCGCACCCGGGGTTCGGGCATTTGAGCATGCAATCCCGCGTGCAGTCCTTCAACGCGTGCTTCACCGACGGGTCGTCGGGCGACAGCCGGTGGCCCCTCACGCAGTTGAGGCAACATCCGTTGGGCACGCGCACGTTGTGCTGGGGGGACCCACTCGCCGCCGCTGCTGCTGCCGACGAGGTCGCGCCGCCCGTTGCAGGGCTGCGAGGCACCAAGGCCCTGACTCACACGAGACACACGACGCCCTCACACTAAAAAAAACTACGTGTTTTTCTTGACTCGGTCACTCACTTGGATGGGGCTACTACGACACTCTTGCCCTCGATCCGCTCAACGCGCGCGTGCAGATCGGCCACCAATGCCGTGTCGAACACGATGGGATACATCGGCCCGCCCTGCAGCTTGGCTGCACGCTGAATGGCCATCTTCATGTTCGGCGCCCACACCTGTGCACGGCACAGGCGACGCATGGACGACGTGTCACTTGAACGCTTCCCTTCGTCACTACTCCCATTCCTTTGCCCACTCACATGTCGGCCTCCATAGACGTTGGAGACCTCGACGAGTTTTGTGTATAAGGTGGTGAAGCGCGGCGCTTTCTCACGCTCCTCTGGCAGGAGCCCGTTGCGGTACATCTCGCCGAGCTTTTGCAGCGTGCGGAGGATGTCGAGTGGGCCCATTTCCTTCACGTCGGTATACGTGAGCTGCAGGCTGCCTGTCCGTGCCCCGAAGACCGTGTTGTCCTTGTCCCTTCCTTTGCGCACTTCGATGGCGAGGGCTGCGCACAGGTCGCGCTGCATGGAGCCGTCTAGGTAGTGGGCGACCATGTTTCCTTCCAGCAGCTGTCCCTGGGACCGCAGCTGCTCCTCCAGCCTTTTGACCACGTCGGCCAGCCGGCCAGGTGCTGGGTGCTGGAGAAAGAGAGGGTCTGCTTTGATGCTGTCCACCTCTGACACGTGCTTGACGTTGCGGTCGGATGTGATGATCAGCTGGCAGAAGACGCTCCTGTTATCGACGACCGGTGCCTGCACACACGCACACACACACACACACACACCACCACACACACCAGAACCCACACAAATTGCCCCTCGGCGAGCGCTACTCGCTTGAGCACGTGCTCTCACTGACCGCGGCCTGCTGCATGGCCTGCTGTATACTGGTGGCTAAGGCCTGGCACGCGCCCATATCTAACTGGCCACTTGGCTGTGGGGGGTCGGGCGGCGAGGCGCCCAGGTTGCCTCCGCTCAGGCTGGCGAATGGCGTGGGCCCTGCTTCACTCGAAGAGGCGCCCATCGACTGGTTCTCGAATAGTGGTTGAATATGTGACGCCCCATTGGATGCGATCCCCTGCATGATTCCCAGTGCTGACCTCGGTTGGGTGTTCGCTGGCGGCATCAGTCCTGCTGGCGGCATCAGTCCTGCTGGCGGAATCAGTCCTGGTGGCGGCATCAGTCCCTGTGGCGGCTGCTGGGTGGATGTGGCGGCGGCCGCAGCTGCTGGTTGGCTCCAGGGTGTTGGAGGCGCCATGCTCTGGATGACGGCTGGCCCCGTTGTCGCGATACCTGTGGCTGCGGCTGCAGCTGCTGCGGGGCTTGATGAGGCGCCGGCGGTTGGTGAGGGGGCCCCTGTTGCCGGGGTGGTGCCTGAGATTGTCGCCGGAGCTGAGCCTATGACCACTCCTCCCGCTGTTCCCCTCCCTCCCGGCTGGTTGTTGTTGTTGTTATTGTTGTTGTTGGACATCATGTACACCATCACCTCCTGGCCCGTAGTGCTCTCCATCCATTCCAGGGTTTTGAAGTGGGGCTCCCAGTCGTCGCCCTGGATGGGGGCCGTTGTTTTCGTCGATCCACCTGTCTCTCCAGTCCCACCTCCCTTCGCAAAAGGCGCCAGGCCGGCTACCAGCTGCTGTGCCGCTTGGTTCGTCAGCCACTGCCCGACCTTTTGCACCATCTCCAACTTCAGCAGTTTCTCTACGGCTTGGATGGCCAAGGCGGCATTCATTCTCTCGATTGCTGGGTGGGTGGACGGCATGCGAGGGGTGGGTGGAAAAGGGAAGGGAGGTATGTCACCGCCTCCTTGGGTCCCCGACGACGCCATGGGATCTCTCTTCTTTGCCGCTGTCGGGATGGTGCCGTTGGTGCTCCCCACTTTTGGCGGTCTGTTCTGGCTTGGCGAGGAGTGCCTGCGCCCGAACAGCCCTTGCCAACGCATCATCCCTTGCCAACGCATCATAGCCATGAGCTCTCCGTGATCCACCGTGGAAAACTCAGTCTGGCTGCTGCCGTTGGTCATCCTGGATGTTGTTGGCCTGCCCCGACGCTGCATGCGCCCGGGGTGTCCTTGCCGGCCTCGTTGTGGCGGTGGCACACCGCCGACGGCCGCAACGAATGCGAGGAGCCACACGATCCGCATGCCGAAGGATGCCGTTACAGGGATGAGGTGTGGCTGTTCGTGCGTTGTCGTCGTCGTTTGCGAATACGAGGGACGAGCTCCAAATCGCGAGCCCGGAGATCGTTACACGGAAGAAGGCGAGCTAGTGAGCTCGCTGGAGGCAGAGTCGCTATTGCGCCTCTGCCTGATGTGTGTGCTCCGCTGCACGTACGTCCGCGACCGGACGTACCATCCTTACGCTCCCATCTGAGGTAAACGGACGGCGCGCGGATCGCTCCGTTTTGTCGTTTGCGAGCTGCTCTCCGTTCCTGTCGCGACAGCCAGCAAACTCTGCCGCTTTCCTGTCGTCGACAAATAGGAGAACTACTCGACAGTTTTCTGTCTTTCCTCATTCTTTGTCAAACATGGCGGACGTTTCGATGACTGATTCGGCTGGTGGCAAGACGGCGGTGCATGTGCCGGATGCACTGA